TTTACTCTGCATGCATGACAACACTACACTCTATAAAAATTACACTATCAAAACTACACTTTTAAGACTACACTTTACTCTGAATACATGACAACACTACACTCTAGAAAAAAAATATATTTCACATGCAATGACTTCGCATGCAATAGCTTCACATGCATGACAAGACTACACTTGCACGCTTTCCTGCACCATTGTCATCATGTTACAATATGCACTAATAGTGGTAGTATTCACATGCCTACACTATTACCCTCGCAGGACTACACTATCAAAACTACACTTTTAAGACTACACTATACTCTGCATGCATGACAACACTACACTAAAACAAAACTACATTTTTAACACAACACTCTGCATGCATGACAACACTACACTAATGCAATGGCTTCACATGCATGACAAGACTACACTTGCACGCTTCCCTGCACCATTGTCATCATGTTTCAGCATGCATTTTCATGTGACTCCTCTCATCACATTTAACCTGTGAGACGTTGGATCGAACTCTAGTGTTGTCGAAGTCTGTTCGCAAGTAATGTGTGTTGTAGTCGAAGTTTGTTCTAACATGCATTAGTCATATTGCTAGGGTTGTTAGCATGTTGAATTGGGCCTTACTTGTAAGCCTAATTGTTTAAGTTAGCTTGTACCCTAAGTTGACTTGTAATGGGTAATTGTTGAAAAGCCCATTAGGTTAGTGTGCTATTTTTCTTATAAATAGGATGCTAGTTTCTCAATCTTGGAAGAAGGAAAAATAGGAAGATAAAATCCTAATTTCAAGCGAGAGAGGTTATTTTGTTATTCTTGTATACTTGTAATCTTGTTCTAAGAGAAAGGAAAGAATAACAGTTTAATAACCAATCCTTGTTGTTCCTTGTTGTTTTACCTTGTCTTCTTTATTAACCCTAACCCTTGTGAGTTTCTTGATCATTAAGAAACCGTTTATACTTTGATTAAAGGTATCTGATTCACAACAAATTGGTGCGGTGAGCGTGGAGAAGATGCATTCAACAAAGTATGAGATTGAAAAGTTCACCAGAGTGAACGACTTCGGTCTGTGGCGCTTGAAGATGAAAGCCCTGTTGGTTCAGCAGGGTTGTTTGGAAGCGTTGAAGGGTGAGGAAGCCATGGACGATGCGTTAACGGAAAAAGAAAAGATGTTGCCCAGTTGCAAGTTTTTCCATTATATGCAGTTAATAAAGTTGCATGAAGAAAGCTAGTTTCTTGATGTTATAGAGTTAGATCCAAGGTGGAGATTTGTGAGATGTTGGATCGAACTCTAGTGTTGTCGAAGTCTGTTCGCAAGTAATGTGTGTTGTAGTCGAAGTTTGTTCTAACATGCATTAGTCAATATTGCTAGGGTTGTTAGCATGTTGAATTGGGCCTTACTTGTAAGCCCAATTGTTTAAGTTAGCTTGTACCCTCAGTTGGCTTGTAATGGGTAATTGTTAAAAAGCCCATTAGGTTAGTGTGTTATTTTTCTTATAAATAGGATGCTAGTTTCTCAATCTTGGAAGAAGGAAAAATAGGAAGATAAAATCCTAATTTCAAGGGAGAGAGGTTATTTTGTTATTCTTGTATACTTGTAATCTTGTTATAGGAGAAAGGAAAAAATAGCAGTTTAATAACCAATCCTTGATGTTCCTTGTTGTTTTACCTTGTCTTCTTTATTAACCCTAACCCTTGTGAGTTTCTTGATTATTAAGAAATTGTTTATACTTTGTTTAAAGGCATCTGATTCACAACATAACCATTATAAATACGTGTTCATCAATGAAGAAACTCTTCTCATCACATTGCAAATTCTACTCCTCAAACTTTCAACAAACTCTTCTCATCACTCAGCAAACTTCACTCATCAAACTTAACCCACAATGTCTCTACTCACAATGGACAACTATCACAGAGGAACAATTGAGAACATCGCAGAGTTTGTAAGTATTTTTCTTTTTTTATCATTCTTTACGAAGTTGAATTTTTCTTTAAATCTAATGTTATTTATATTCTTTTACAGAATGTATCAAGGTTTCGTTGTCGTGTACATGACTACATACCACACGACCCATTCATAGAAAGATATATATAAGCATGTGTGTTTGGTGATTTGAGAAAATTCAAATCGTACTCACTAGATCCTAAATTTATTCTAGCGTAGCTAGAACAATGGAGACCAGAGACCCACACATTTCACCTTCCTTCTGGTGAATGTATTGTCACTTTACAAAATGTCTACATGTTACTTGGCCTACACATCACTGGTAAGGCCGTCAAGGTCAAAGTTGGTGTTAATGACCAACTTTACAAAGATTTACTAGGCTCCCCTCTATGTGTTGAAACACCTCAGCCACAATGTGAAGGTCGACCGAGGGGGCAAGGTATTAATTTAAAATACCTCAGAGAACACTAAAATAATATCGTGTTAAATGAGAAATCCACCGAGTATGAGAAGATACTTAAAACTCGATGCTATATTATGATATTATTTGGTCATTTTTTATTTCATGAATGTACTAGAAATAATGTAAATATTATGTATTTACTGTTGTTGCACAACATTAATAAAGTGTGCACATATAGTTGGGGTTCATCTGTCCTCACCCATCTATATAGTTCATTATGTAAAAATTCAAAAAACAATTCTTGTACTTTTTATGGTTGCACCTATCTCCTTCAAGTGTGGGGTTGGTCTAGAATGTCAACACATGCTCCAATTAACTGGAATCCATTCACATTCCCATATGCTAACAAGTAAGTTTACTTTCAAAACGTGTATACCAACGATGTTTCTTTGTAACTTATTTATTTGTGAAATGATTCTTAGTAACTAATTTATTTGTGTCTTTTTTTTAGGTGGTATGTTTCGGGAATGAATTACCAAAGATGTTCCAGAAACTCAATAATCGTCTACCGCAACCTTATAGAACACATTGGACCAGACGATGTAACTTATCTACCAACGATGTATCATTACTTTGTCTATTTAATAACCACATACTTATTTTTCTCATTAAATCTATAGTTGATACAGGGGCATGTTGTTCAGACTATTATGTGATCGCTTTAGCTTTTATTTAAAGATTTGTTTCAGATTAAATTTATCAAAAGCTTGCGATTTTAGGTTGAATCCTATTGAGTTTTTAATTGGAGTGTATTTTTTTAATATAAATATAAGGTACTCCTTATTTGAAGACAAGAAAAAAGCTTTTGAAGAAATATTTTAGGTGTGCTGTAATAGGTTTTTTTAGTCTTTGTAGTTTGTTTCTTGTGTAATACTACATCTCAGATCTCAGAGAGTCTTTGTAGTTTGGTTTGAAATTGTGAGTTTAATCACATCATAATTAGTTGGGTTTTGCGAACACTTGAGAGAGTGTTTGAGTGAAAGTGAAGAGATCCCACATTCAGAGGGAGTATGAGTTGAAATTCACATGTAGTATTAAAAAAAAGGTAATGAACTCTGAGAGTTAAAATAAAACCGTCATGTAATATTGACTACTTGAATAAGTGAGTTTCATTTCCTTTGAACTAAACTACTCAAAACGTAGAAACGTTTGCACTAAATTTGGTTAATAATTCTTTGTATTCTTTATTTTTATTTGCTTATTTTGTTCATTGCTTGATTAATATCATCTTGTCTCCCAATTGTTTTAATATTATGTAAGACATCTTAACTTTGGTCAAATAGAGTTACAATTGGCATTAGAGGAGACACCATGTTATGATTGGATATGTTCCAAAGTATATATTATGTTCAAGATGGATAATACTGAAGAAGGATGATTTGTTAATCATCGTCCAGTTCTCGATGGAATTAATTATGAAAAATGGAAGGCTTGGATTGTGGCTTTTCTTATGTTCTTGGACAACAAGACTAGGAAAGAGATTATTAATGGACAAACTTTGATAACAACCACTACAAAAGATAATTATGTATTTGAGAAGCCAGAAAATATTGGACACATGCTGAAGATGAAGTTGTTCTTGGAAATTTTATTGGACACATGCTGAAGATGAAGTTGTTCTTGGAAAGTGCTCTTATTGTATTTAGGGATAAGGTCCAAGATTGAGTTAAATTGGTTTGATGTTGGTATTTGTAAAATTTCCCCACTCTTTTCGGTAAAGGTCAAATGGTGGTGGTTGTGGGTGATTTTTTTTTTCAACATCGACTGTGTTTGGTGATATTATTTATGTCGATTTTGTTTTCATTTGCTGCATGTTTGTTTATTGGATGTACAATATAAAAAAGTACATGTGAACACCGTATGTTCTTGGGGTATTTCTCACTTTGTTGGAATTCTGTTATTGATTGGGAAATCAATCATGTAATTTATTATGAAATAGTCTGTTTCTCCATTTGCCGCGTGATAAAAAAATGGACTAAACAAGATGGTCTATTTCTATAGTTAATTAGAATGTCACATGGCATGCCAAGTGCACGCCTGAGTCATTGATTTATATTTACATTTACATGACCATAATAACTATATATCATTTTTCTAGTTCCCAGAATTGTGTATGTGTCTTTATTAGGTAACACACACTTTTATTTCTATTACTTTTTAAATAAAAAACTTGTTCACACTAATACAACATATAATATATAATTTGAAAGGGAAATATTTATAACATTGTTAGGTCAATTATATTTAGAACTGAATTTAAAAAAATTAAAGAAAAAAATATAATTCCTATTAAATTTCTTAAGTCGCCTGTGTTCACTAACTGACTTAAAAAACATATTTATTAAGTCAGGTATTACCCACCTAACCTAAGACGTTTTATTCATACCCTTCTCTCACTGCAAACCCTACTTCTTCACAACAAACCCTTCATTCAACAAATGAACTCCTTTTGTTAAACTCTTCTCACGAACCCAGAAACTCATTCATCAAACTTGAATCCTTCACATAAAATCCAAAAATCATACACTTCACTGCGGAGAAATCAAACCCCTCATTGTAAATCTGACACCCTAAACCAAAACCAAAATCAGAGTAGCCATGTTGCTTAGCCGTTTTCCGTGGACGGCGGTTTCCGCTGCTGCACCAATTCCACTGCATTCTTCCATTAAAGTTTTCACTTCCATTCCAAAGCAACTCGCCTTCTCCCATTTATCCTTCTGCTCCACCTCCAACCTCCATCTCACTCACCATCCAGACAAACATGTAATTTCATTTTCACGCCATTTCTAGGGTTAACTCATTCAACTTTTTTTTTTGTTCGCATCATTCACTAAGTTTGAATCTTTATTTGCAGGAACATGAACCGGATAATCGTCGCACGCAGCATCTGAAACCCGGACTTTATCTCGTCGGAACACCGATCGGAAATCTTGAAGACATCACATTCAGGGCTCTTCGAGTGTTAAAACACCCCTGGTAACTCTTCCTTTTCCTTTTACTCTACTTGCAAACCTAGGTCAATATACGTCACTGTTTGGCATAATTGCAATTTACATTTTCTAATACTCGTTTCTAGATCTTCAGATGAGTTATCACAAATTCAATGAATCACAAAGGGAACGGGTTGTGCTCAGGAGGTTGAAACAAGGTGAGATTGTGGCACTTATAAGTGACGCTGGAACGCCGGGTATAAGTGATCCTGGTATGGAGTTGGTTTGTGTGTTGCTATTACTGTGTTTGTTTATTCTTATCATCACTTCTATTCTATTTTGTTTCATAACTTTATTCATGGTGATAACAATGCAGGCCAAATTATGTGTTAGTGAAAATGTTCCGGTTGTTCCAATCCCAGGTCCTTGTGCTTTGGTATCTGCTCTTTCAGCCTCGGGTTTATCCACAGATGAATTTACATTTGGTAATTAACTGATTGAACTGTATGGTTTGGGTAGATAATGACTATAAACCAAGAACTAAAACGTATAAGCACTTATCTTTGTAGGTGTGTCTTGGAAGTGCTGGGGTTGTAGACAATGAAGGCAAGTCACTATTATCCTTCCTCTCTGTGTTTAAGAAGAATTTTGGAACATGTGTGTTGAACATTAGAAAACTAGCATCTTGAGTGGAGGTAAGGTTCCAGCTTTCAATTTCCAATGTTGTAATTTTGGTGCTGTTATGAATTATGCATTGTTTCCATTGTTGCTCGTGTGTACGTGATTCAACTTCTTTCTTTCTGATCTTCCAATTCATGTGTACTATGTTTCTTTTTCTGCTTTTCTTGTATGTGTGTGTTGGTGTGTATACGATTCTGTGATTTTTCTTCTCTGATGCTTCTCTATGCGTGAATTTTCTGATCTTCCCCTGTGTGCTTGTTGCAGATCTGTCCATGTCAAGCAATTCTATCTCTCTCAATTCCAACAGCAGAGCTCAGCGTGAAGAATAGCTTTTGATTGCAATTGCAGTTACATAGAGTCGCTAACAAGGTATACTCTCTTTGCTTTTATAACTTTGGACTTATAAATTATGCTAGTAATTTAAATGGTTTACAAACTAGGTTGAGTTTTCTGCTATGTTTGAATCCGAACATGTTCCTATTATTACTTTTTGTTTCTACTATACACATATATGATTAATTCTAAAATTATAAGACTCAACTCTTATGCTTAGCATAAAACTGACACTGTTAAATTTGAATCGAAAGTTTAGCATATGAGGCACGTCAAAGAGAGTATGCTTTATGCTTCAAACAGGTCCTTGGCATGCATGCATATGAGGCGCGTCAAAGAGAGTATGCTTTGAAGGGGCATAGACATTTCTATTTTATGACCTTGAACGGTAGTGAGGAACTTTATCCTACATCTGCATTCTTAGCTTGAATCAACTTCATTTGTTACTTTTAGTATTTCTGAGTTCTTTGTTGCCTTTCATGTGCTACGAGAATTTAGAAGAACCTAACATGTATCTTATATCACCCCAAACATGAGAGTATGCTTTATGCTTTAGCATAAAACTGACACTCTTATGTTTAGCATAAATTAATGTTTAAGTGATTTTTTGTTCCTAATCAGTATTAGTATAGAAGTTTCAAAAATAAAAGTTGGTTTTTTCCTCTCTATAAAATGCAACTATAACTATAAGTATCTAAGTGGTTATATTAAGTGTCGTGCAGATACTATTTTTTCAGTGGTAATTTTTATATTCAATTTTGCTTTAACTGTAATTTTGATTTGGAGAACAAAATCTCATTTTCCAAAAATATCTGCAAAAAGGAAAGGAAAGATCATGCAGGCCAAAGCAAAACAGTTTGTTCCTATATGAGTTTTTTGATATATGGTTGATACATATATGAACCAAGGATTACAAATGGTTATACACAAATTCTTCCTATTAATTTCTTCTGTCTGTTTTCTCAGATTGAAACTAAACTTGATCAAGTCCAGAGTTTGCTCATAAAGCAGTTTGAAATTTTAAAAACTGATGAGATCAACTTAATATAATATGTATTCATATATTTTAGTAACTAATTAATTAAACTTTCACCTGTAATTGTGGTATTGTCAAGTAACTAGATTGTAACCACATTTTTCCAAAACTTTTGATATGATGGTATTTACTTCTGGTAGTGATTTTCATTTTAACAATAGTTTATATTGATATGCAGGTATTTCACTTTGAATTTTATGAATAATTTTATCTGTCTTATGAATCTACTGTTTTCAATTGGTTATTCAAATCTATTAGACTGGTTTTAAAATCTACTGCTTCTGCCAATCTTATAGTTAGGGCCCATGTTTGGTTGGAGGATTCTGACTTAGCTTGGATAGATGGCGAAGTCTTGGAGATTAATGGAGAACAAATCAAAGTCCTTTGCACTTCTGGGAAGACGGTGAGTGCATTTTTGTAATATTTGCTAAAAGTTAATCTTGGCCTTCACAAATGCATTTTTTGTTCTGTTTTTGAATTACTGGTTTTACACAAATGCTTTGATTTCTTTGAATCTTTGAAGGATAGCATAATGTAGATATGCACTTTCTTTTAACTAGGAATTTTGAACTTTCTGTTGCTTTAGAATTTGTTTATTTTGTCCCCATCATATGTCTGATTTGCAATATGCAGGTTGTTGTTAAAGCTTCTAGTATTTATCATAAAGATACCAAAGTTCCACCTTGTGGAGTGGATGATATGGCAAAGCTCGCGTACCTGCATGAACCCGGGGTCCTAAATAATCTGAGATCAAGATACGAAATCAATGAAATTTATGTACGCATTTTGGTTCCCAACGCTCCTTAGACGGTGCCTTTTCTGTGATTTTTCATATTTTTCATTTTCTTGACCTGTAGAGAACACATTTCAACATATGAAATAAATTTCTATTTTCCCACTTAGATTTGACTTTGAAATAACAGTAGCAAATCTTAACTTTTTTGTTCCATGTCAACAATTCATTTGGTGAAGTAAAATTTTTATCGGTCTTGAACAGTAACCCGAAATACCCATCCGTATTAACCCGAACCCGTCTAAACCGGACCCATCCAATTTGGTGAAGTAATATTCATACAATCATACAGTACTTATAGTTGTTGCCTTGATTAAGTTCTGATCTCTTGTAATTACATATCTTCAATTTGCATAATTTTCAGTTTTCTATATGAAAGAACTATGTTTTTCTTACTTGACCTGAAAGATTCCATGTTATTTTAACGTATCAAATGTTTATAAGCATTCCAAGAGTTATACTAAATAATTTTCATAATTATATATATATATATATATATATATATATATATATATATATATATATATATATATGTGTGTGTGTGTGTGTGTGTGTGTGTGTGTGTGTGTGTGTGTGTGTGTGTGTGCGTGCGCGTGTGTGTGCACGCGCGCGCGTTATCCCAAAAAAAATGATATTAAAAAAACCAAACTTGTTAGGTCGGCTAAATATATCTGATTTAAGAAAAAAAAGTTCTTAAGTCGGGTACAAATTAGATAAGGGCTTTATGAAAACCTAGACTTATTAAGTCGGACGTAGTTAAACCGACCTAATAAAATTTTCTTAAGTCAGGTCTAAATCCGACTTAAGAAGTCAAAACTTCTTATGTCGGCAATTCTTAGGTCAGTTTCGGACCCGACTTAACAAGCATTTTTTCTACTAATGTGAATTAAAAGGTGTTGTGAATAGGATACCGTTAAACAAAGTATAAACGGTTTCTTATCAAGAAACACACAAGGGTTAGGGTTAATAAAGAAGAAAGCAACAAGGAACAACAAGGATTGGTTATTGAACTGCTATTCTTTCCTTTCTCTTAGAACAAGATTACAAGTATACAAGAATAACAAAATAACCTCTCTCCCTTGAAATTAGGATTTTATCTTCCTATTTTTCCTTATTCCAAGATTGAGAAACTAGCATCCTATTTATAATAAAATAGCAAACTAACCTAATGGGCTTTTTAACAATTACCCATTACAAGCTAACTTAGGGTACAAGCTAACTTAAACAATTGGGCTTACAAGCAAGACCCAATTCAACATGCTAACAACCGTAGCAATATTTACTAATGCATGTTAGAACAGACTTCGACTACAACACACATTACTTGCGAACAAACTTCGACTATAATAGAGTTCGGTCCAACATCTCACAAATCTCCACCTTGGATCTAACTCTATAACATCAAGAAACTAGCTTTCTTCATGCAGCTTTATTAACTGCATGTAGTGGAAAAACTTGCAACTGGGCAATGTCTTGGTGATCATATCAGCAGCATTATGATCTGTCAAAACTTTCAGCACTTGGACTTCTCCACGCTCGATTACCCCTCTGATGAAATGCAGCCTCACATCAATGTGCTTGGTTCGCTCATGATAGGCTGAATTCTTCGACAGGTGTATTGCACTTTGACTATCACATTTAACAGTGATAACTCGACCTTGAAGTTTTAGCTCCTTTGCAAAACCTTCAAGCCACAATGCTTCCTTCACAGCTTCAGTTAGGGCAATACCTACATAATCAGAGTCCACATATCCTTCGATTGCTGCTTTACTATCTTCACCCAAGGCTCCGCCATAAATTAGGACTCTATTCAGAGACTCATTTATGTACCTTAAAATCCACTTACAACTGACTAACCTGTCTCCAGCAGGTTTCTTGATCAGTTCCCAGGTGTTGTTATCATGAAGAGATTTCATCTCATCATCCATGGTCTTCAGCCATTCAGTCTTCTTTCGACTACTCATAACTTCCTTATAGTCTCTAGGTTCTTCATCTAGAACCTCACTAGCAGAGATTAAGGTGTAAGCTATAAGATCTGCATACCCAAGTCTCTGAGGTGGCTTGATGACTCTCCTTGACCTGTCTCTTGCTAGCAGGTAGTCATTATCAGTCTCCTCATCTGCAACAACATCTTCTGCGTCTTCTTCGACTTCATCTGGGGTAAGCAATTCAGCATCAACATGCTCCACCTCAACAGGAATCTCTCC